ATAAAATACTTCATAATGACTTGCCGATCTGATGTTTTTAAACAAGAAAAACGCAAAATTTTTCAAAAACATTTATTTTTTAATACAGCTTTTAAATTTTCAATACTGTACTGAAACCTGATCAGTCAAAAAAAAATCTGATCGATCTGATCAACTAGATTTTCTATAATAATCTTCACAATGAAGAGTATACTAGAATTGAGCTCCACCAAATGTCTATTTTTAGAATAGTCTAAACTTTCGTTTTAGAAAAGCTTGATTTTTTTGAACAAGAAATAAAATAATTTTCCAGTCTAATTTCTGACTTAAAGTCCCCGAGTGGAACATTTGAGAAATTATTTTAATCAAAAACTAGAAAATGAATAAAATTAGATCTTGATCTTCCTAATAAACTACTCCATAATGACTCGCCGATCTGATGTTTTTAAACAAGAAAAATGCTAAATTTTTCAAAAACATTTATTTTTTAATACAGCTTTTAAATTTTCAATACTGTACTGAAAGCTGATCAGTCAAAAAGAATCTGATCGACCTGATCAACTAGATTTTCTATAATAATCTTCACAATGAAGAGTATACTAGAATTGAGCTCCATCAAATGTCTATTTGTAGAATAGTCTAAACTTTCTTTTTAGAAAAGCTTGATTTTTTTGAACAAGAAATAAAATAATTTTCTAGTCTAATTTCTGACTTAAATTCCCCGAGTGGAACATTTGAGAAATTATTTTAATCAAAAACTAGAAAATGAAGAAAATTAGATCTTGATCTTTCCAATAAATTACTCCATAATGACTTGCCGATCTGATGTTTTTAAACAAGAAAAACGCAAAATTTTTCAAAAACATTTATTTTTTAACACAGCTTTTAAATCTTCAATACTGTACTGAAAGCTGATCAGTCAAAAAAAAATCCGATCGACCTGATCAACTAGATTTTCTATAATAATCTTCACAATGAAGAGTATACTAGAATTGAGCTCCACCAAATGTCTATTTTTAGAATAATCTAAACTTTCTTTTTAGAAAAGCTTGATTTTTTGAACAAGAAATAAAATAATTTTCTAGTCTAATTTCTGACTTAAAGTCCCCGAGTGGAACATTTGAGAAATTATTTTAATCAAAAACTAGAAAACGAAGAAAATTAGATCTTGATCTTCCTAATAAATTACTTCATAATGACTTGCTGATCTGATATTTTTAAACAAGCAAAACGCAAAATTTTTCAAAAACATTTATTTTTTAATACAGCTTTTAAATTTTCAATACTGTACTGAAACCTGATCAGTCAAAAAAAAATCTGATCGATCTGATCAAATAGATTTTCTATAATAATCTTCACAATGAAGAGTATACTAGAACTGAGCTCCACCAAATGTCTATTTGTAGAATAGTCTAAACTTTCTTTTTAGAAAAGCTTGATTTTTTTGAACAAGAAATAAAATAATTTTCTAGTCTAATTTCTGACTTAAAGTCCCCGAGTGGAACATTTAAGAAATTATTTTAATCAAAAACTAGAAAATGAAGAAAATTTGATCTTGATCTTCCTAATAAAATACTTCATAATGACTTGCCGATCTGATGTTTTTAAACAAGAAAAACGCTAAATTTTTCAAAAACATTTATTTTTTAATACAGCTTTTAAATTTTCAATACTGTACTGAAAGCTGATCAGTCAAAAAAAATCTGATCGACCTGATCAACTAGATTTTCTATAATAATCTTCACAATGAAGAGTATACTAGAACTGAGCTCCACCAAATGTCTATTTGTAGAATAGTCTAAACTTTCTTTTTAGAAAAGCTTAATTTTTTTGAACAAGAAATAAAATAATTTTCTAGTCTAATTTCTGACTTAAATTCCCCAAGTGGAAGATTTGAGAAATCATTTTAATCAAAAACTAGAAAATGAAGAAAATTAGATCTTGTTCTTTCCAATAAATTACTCCATAATGACTTGCCGATCTGATGTTTTTAAACAAGAAAAACGCAACATTTTTCAAAAACATATATTTTTTAATACAACTTTTAAATTTTCAATACTGTACTGATACCTGATCAGTCAAAAAAAAAAAATTGATCGATCTAATCAACTAGATTTTCTATAATAATCTTCACAATGAAGAGTATACTAGAATTGAGCTCCATCAAATGTCTATTTGTAGAATAGTCTAAACTTTCTTTTTAGAAAAGCTTGATTTTTTTGAACAAGAAATAAAATAATTTTCTAGTCTAATTTCTGATTTAAATTCCCCGAGTGGAACATTTGAGAAATTATTTTAATCAAAAACTAGAAAATGAATAAAATTAGATCTTGATCTTCCTAATAAATTACTCCATAATGACTTGCCGATCTGATGTTTTTAAACAAGAAAAACGCTAAATTTTTCAAAAACATTTATTTTGTAATACAGCTTTCAAATATTCAATATTATACTGAAAGCTCAACAGTCAAAAAAAAATCTGATCGCAAAATTAGATTTTATAAAATAATCTTCCCTATGAAGAGTATACTAGAATTGAGCTCCTCCAAAATTCTACTTTTAAAATAGCCTAAACGTTTGTTTTAGGAAAGTCTGATTTTTTTGAATAAGAAATCAAATAGTTTTCTAGTCTAATTTCTGTTGTAAAATCCCCCAATCAGACATTTAAGAATTTATTTTTAACAAAACTTATAAAATGAAAACTAGATCTTGATCTTCCTAGTAAATTACTCCACGCTAAGTTAATGATTTGATTTTTTATTTCACAAGGAAAAGACTTAAAATTTTTCAAAAACACTTATTTTTTAATACAGATTTTAAAAGTGGAATACTAAACTGAAAGCTGATCAGTCAATAAAAAAAATTCTAATCACAAAACTAGATTTTCTAAAATAAACTTTACAATCAAGAGTACCTATACTAAAATTGAGCTCCCCAAATGTCTACTTTTAAAATAGTCTAAACTTTTTTTTAGAAAAGCCTGATTTTCTTAAACAAGAAATAGAATAATTTTCTAGTCCAATTTCTGTTTTAAAATCTCCCAATAGAACATTTGAGAAATTATTTTTATCAAAGATTAGAAAATGAAGAAAACTAGATCTTGATGATCCCAGTAAATTATTACAAGCTAAGTTAACGATTTGATTTTTTTAGACAAGAAAAACACTTAAAATTTTTCAAAAGCACATATTTTTAATGGAACCCTTCAATATTAAAAACTAAACTCAAAGCTGATCAACAAAAAAATCTAATGACAAAATCAGAATTGAACTCCCTCAACTTTTTAAAGTTGCCTAAGCTTTCCTTGTCAAAAGTCTGATTTTCTGAACAATAAATAATATAGTTAACCAGTTTCATTTCTGTTTTAAATTTCCTCAAGGGAAAACTTGAAATTTTTTGATCAAACATAGAGCTTGATTTTCCTGGTACGTTCACGTTTTAATTTTTTTAAGCTAGTAAAAACACCTCGATTTTTTGAACAGCACAATTTGTTTAAAATACAGCCTTCAAAAATTAGCTGAAAGCTAAACGGCCAAAAAAATTAGGTAGTCTAAGTTCTCCAAGTGTCTACTTTTAAAATTTTGTAAACTTTCCTATGAGAAAATTTTTAAATGAAAAACTAGGAAATAAGGAAGACTAGAATGTGATTATTTTAGAACACTCTTAAGTTCTGGCAGTCACTATGAGGATCTCTTTAAATTTTTCAAGAGACTTAAATGATTAAGTTAGGGTTACTGGATGTAATTGCCGAAATTTATTTTAATTTTTTTCTCATTGCCAAAAAAAATGGGCTTATTATAAAAATCCAGAGTTTCTGAACAAGAAGTTAAATAGTTTTTCAGCATTACTTCTGTTTTTAAATTCCTCTGAGGGAATCATTAAGAAATTATTTTGATCAAAAATTAAAGTGGGGACAACTAGATTTTGATCATCATATACGTATTTTTTGGAGACAACATACACTTTAAATTTTCCAAAACAAGTAAATTGCTGATTGATCACAAAATCTGGATTTTTTTAATCAATTTTCACAGTGATCAGTATGACAAAATTTCAAATTTCCCTAAACTTTTCCTTTGGGAAACGCTTTAAATCAAAATATAAAAGGTGAAGGAAACTAGACTTCGAGCCTCCTAGCTAAATTAGCTATTGAATATTCTTTTAGACCCGAGAAATTTTACAAAGTTTTCGGAAGCCCCAATTTTGTTAAATTAGGGCTGGTGGACATTAAATTAGTTTTAAATAAAAATAAAAGGAAAATGTAAACAACTGATTTAAAATTATAAATGTGGAGAGAGTTTGTTTGCAAAACACTATAACTTTTTCGGATTTTGTCGAAAACCGTTTATAAAAAATCATTTTAAGCTCTGATGCCAGCTAGTATGACTGTATTTAATTTTGCTTAGTAATTTCCAACTTAATTGTTTACTTTGTTGTTTGGTAGTTTTTCAAAACTCACTTCTCCCAGTAATAATAAAACCAAAATTTTTCAAAACTCACAAAACTTCAAAAATCAGCTTTCCTTTTCCCCGCGCCGTAAATCGCGTACCATAACTCCCAGCACTGAAGAAGTGTGAAAGATCGGAATAAACTGTTACTGCATTGTTAATAACGCCAATTAGTGATGCGCACCAACAAATCAAAAAAATCGTCCCAATCGGATTAATTTTCGATTTGTTCTGTTCCAGACTCGTGCACCGTCTCCGCGCCGGCTCCACGAGCAGGAAACAGTCGCTGCAAAGCGTCAGTGATGAGAAAATCGTGTTTAAAACCGCAATTAGTGTTCGATAGATGAATACATGAAAAGAGATAGAGAGAGAGAGATAAGAGAGAGAGAGGCCTGTAGTACAGATTATCTGGAGTTCCTATAAGCGCTGTAGAATTAGGACACATATATAGCTTTTTCCGGTCTTTCTGCTCATGCGCATGAACATACCGCATGCGCATGCGGGGGGCGGGTCTGTCGCAAGTGCACAGTGATATAGGCTGGGGGTATTTTAGCTAAAGTATCCTAGGCTTACCAAGGGACTGGCCAGAATAATGCCTATCCTGCTGAGAACAGCGGGCAGTCGCTGCAACATGACAGACCAAACAACGTACAATCTTATGAGGAGCCACTGGTAAAAGCGTGGGCCATTTCGCCCTCAATAATCAAAAAAGAAGTTTAGAAACATCATGCTCGATTAGACGCCAATTCGTGTTAATTGTAGCTACTAGTCGTTTTATTTCTTGCATATACAATAGGAACAGTGTTACTGTGTCTTTCCTTAGTTCCTGCACGCTGTTAAGTATTGCCTTGCACAACAACACCAAACAAAGTGAAGGAAAGTCTAGTTACGTGTCTCGATACGAATATACCTAAAAAATGTATGACAGGGGTAACAACTCCTATGCTGATGTTCTAGTTTCTTCTCTCGCCTAAACCTGAGTGGTGGCAGGACAAGCTCCGGATCCCCAAGAGGTTGTCTTGCCACAAGCACAGCAAACTTAAAATACATAGGATTCTGATTAAGGCACTACCGGATTTATAACTCAAGTGGACTTTCCGTAAACAACTTCCTCTTGGCGAATTTGCTTAAAGACTAATTTGTAAACTTTTAAAACGGTTTCGGAACATAAAAGATTTTGCGAGAAAATTGAACAGCGAGAACTTCAACCAACATTAATTAATTCTACTCTGGAGATTCGGGGCCGTTTATTTATTCGCGGATATAGTTCAACCAATTTATAACATTTACATTACGACATGCAAATTATCGTGTTTATTAGGGCGATACGTGTGCTGTCAGAAAATCATTAAGCGAACTTTCGATTAACGTAATTGCTGCAGACAATATTTAATGTTTTGTTAACGATACACTGCATGATCCAGGGTGATTTAGGGTGAAATGTGTGTTGCATAAATCCTCAAAATCAGATACAATCACGACAATTTTTAGTTTGACACAATAGAATTATCTACAACTTTTGGTAATAACTTTTCGGTGTAACATTAATAATAAAAAAGTTACAATCAAACGATTTGGGAAGGTGGACAATAGTGACGAAAAAAGTACAGCAGTAAATCAATTAAAATTCAATTAGGCAAGGGGAAAACAGAAGATTTATGGAGAAAGAAAGTGGGACAAGGAGTAAGATGGCTAATGGGCGAATTATGGTTAACTGCGTAAGAGCGAACAAAGCACACACATCGAAAACACGAAATAAGAGATCCTTCTTTGTTTTTGGGTGAAAGTGTCCAGTTGGACTTAATGGTGATTGGATCATGTCGATTTTGTACTAATTCGCATTCAACAGTACACACTTACGTATAAAAAAACGAAGCTTCGTTCACATTTTTTTGATTTGACGTATTTTTACTTCCCGAGCGTAAGCAAAGGAAGTATTGTAATCGAGTCCGTCGGCCGACTCTCTACTTTTACGTTTTCTCGATCTTTCATGACCCCTAGAAGACGAAGAAATAGGTCTCCCATTTCCGTCTGTCTGTCCGTCTGTCCGTCTGTCCGTCTGTCCGTCCGTCCGTCTGTCCGTCTGTCCGTCTGTCCGTCTGTCCGTCTGTTGTCACGGATTTTTATTAGACAGATAATCTCCGAAAGTACTCGACCGATTGTTGTGAAATTTTGTACTTATATTAAGAATATCATGTAGATGGTAAAACGCTAACCAAAATTTGTCGAATCATCCCCACCACTAAAGCGATGACGTCACTTCAAAATTGTACATAGTAAATGGGTTTTCAATTGTATAAAATAACATAGTCCTACACATGTAGTTTACAACTCTGAATCGACTTTTCACCCGAAACGTCCAGATTTTTGGAAAAAAAATCAAAATTATAAAACAACATTTTGAAATTTAATTTTTAATCTGCTAACCAGAATGCTTTGAAATGTTGCAGATGTTTTAAGGCTATAAAGAGCATCATAAATCTTTAGTCAAAAAATATTTGCTTATCCCCTCCAAAAACTTGATGACGTCAGCTCAAAAGTTTGTGGAATAAATCATATCTAAAATGTACAAAATATGATGAGTCTGTACTTGTGAACTATCACTCCATTAATATTTTTTGGATTTGCGTATACAGGGTGACTCAAAAAAATTAATGAATGCGTAAATATATTTTATTGATTTAATCAGGAACTACAAAACCGAATGCTCTGAAATCTTGCAGATGTTTTAAGGTCATAAAGAGCATAATAAATGTTTAGTCAAAATATATTTGCTTATCCCCTCCAAAAACTTGATGACGTCAGCTCGAAAGTTTGCCGAATAAATCATATCTAAAATGTACAAAATATGATGAGCCTGTACTTGTCATTTATCACTCCATTCATATTTTTTGGATTTGCATATACAGAGTGACTCAAAAAAATTAATGAATGCGTAAATTTATTTTATTGATTTAATCAGGAACTACAAAACCGAATGCTTTGAAATCTTGCAGATGTTTTAAGGTTATAAAGAGCATAATAAATTTTTAGTCAAAATATATTTGGTTATCTTCTACAAAAAACTGATGACGTCAGCTCAAAAGTTTTCCGAATAAATCGCATCTAAAATGTACAAAATATGATGAGTCTGTACTTGTGATTTATCATTCCATTCATATTTTTGGATTTGCATATGCAGGGTGACTGAAAAAAATTAATGAAGGCGTGAATTTATTTTATCGATTTAATCAGGAATTACAAAACCGAATGCTTTGAAATCTTGGGAATATTTTAAAGTTATTATAAGCATGGTAAACTTTTGTTCAAAATGTATTTGTTCATCCCTCCTAAAAAAATTGATGACGTCACCCTTAAATTTTGCTGAATAAATCCTATCTAAAATGCAAAAAATATGACGAGTTTGTACTTGTGATTTATCATTCCATTCATATTTTTTAGATTTTCTTAAGAGGTGGTTCAAAAAACTTAATGAAGTCAATTTATTTTATTGATTAAATTAAAGGCAACACTTATTATTAGTATTACACCCCAACCAACCCAATTTGGTAGACACAAAATTTGTTAAAGGAAAAACTCGGTTGAAACATAAGGGTAGCACGCTTATTTACATCGACTTTAACGTTACAGATCTGCATTTGTTTTATGCGGTCACTTGGTTCCGCGAATGCGAAATAGACATGTTTATAATCAACCAATTGTGAATTTCACCGTCAAGAATTAAAATAAAACCCAATGTTTTATATAATAAGCGGAAGTCGAAGCAATAAAACCGACGGTCGTTTTGTTTACAGTTTCTGTGTTTGGCTCTCACGTATGCTGTTACGCCTGTCATCTTAAATTAACAATGTTTATACATACACGATTTTTAGTTGCCTCTGATACGTAGGTATACGTGAGTAAATTGTTTCGTTATTTTATTGATTATTACAAATCAATATTCAAACGACCCAATTCATTTTCCCGAAAATTTGAGAATATAATAATTTTATTCTTAGTATTACACTACATCTATCCCAACTGATATACGTGTCCTTGCAAAAATGTTGATGACGTCATCGCAATTTTTTTTTAAATTCCCACTACAAAAATGTAATGAGAAAAAAAACACAATAGGCATGCAGTCGTCAAGTTTCCGACAGCGAGGGAAGTACTGTCTAAACTCTTTAGACCAATTTTTTTAGATTATAGATCTCAAATATTAGATGTTGAATTGGAAGTTGATCAGTCAAAAAAATTTAGTTCTTATCAAAAAACTTGATTTTTTAAAATAATCTTCACTATGAACTAGAATTTAACTCCCCAAGTGTCTATTTTTAAAATTTCCTAAACTTCCCTTCGAGAATTTTTTTTATTTAAAATCTAGGAAATACCGAAGACCAAAGTTTGATCATTTTAGAACATTCTAAGTTTTGGTATTTAGAAGGAGGATATCTTTAGCTTTTTTTAAAAGCTTTAAATGATTAAGTCACTATTACTGGATCTAAATGTTTAAATTTCCAAATTTTTTTTTCTCATTCTCAAAAAAAGGGCAGATTAAAAAAACTAGAATTTCTGAACAAGAAATAATACAGTTTTTCAGTTTCATTTTTGTTTTAATTTCCTCCAATGGAACACTTGGGAAACTAATTTTAACAAAGATAATAAAATGAAGAAAACTAGATTTTCATTTTTCTTGTATATTACTCCAAGCTAAGTTAACGATTTGTTTTTTTTTAGACAGGAAATCCACCTTAAATTTTTAAATTTTTCAAAAGCACATATTTTTTTAGATTATAGATCTCAAATTAGATGTTGAATTGGAAGTTGATCAGTCAAAAAAAATTTAGTTCTTATCAAAAGACTTGATTTTTTAAAATAATCTTCACTATGAACTCTAGACTAGAATTTAACTCCCCAAGTGTCTATTTTTAAAATTTCCTAAACTCCCCTTTGAGAAATTTTTTATTTAAAATCTAGGAAATACTGAAGACTAGAGTTGATCATTTTAGAACATTCTACGTTCTGGTATTTAGAAAGAGGATATCTTTAGCTTTTTTTAAAAGCTTTAAGTGATTAAATCACTATTACTGGATCTAAATGTCTAAATTTCCAAATTTATTTTTTTTCTCATTCTCAAAAAAGGGGCAGATTAAAAAAACTAGAATTTCTGAACAAGAAATAGTATAGTTTTTCAGTTTCATTTTTGTTTACTTTCCTCCAATATAACACTTGAGAAATTATTTTTAACAAAGATAATATAAAATGAAGAAAATTAGATTTTGATTTTTCTTGTATATTACTCCAAGCTAAGTTAACGTTTTTTTTTTTTTTAGACAGGAAATCCACCTTAAATTTTTCAAAAGCACATATTTTTTTAGATTGTAGATCTCAAATGTTAGATGTTGAATTGGAAGTTGATCAGTCAAAAAAATTTAGTTCTTATCAAAAAACTTGATTTTTTAAAATAATCTTCACTATGAACTCTATACTAGAATTTAACTCCCCAAGTGTCTATTTTTAAAATTTCCTAAACTTTCCTTCGAGAAATTTTTTTATTTAAAATCTAGGAAATACTGAAGACTAGAGTTTGATCATTTTAGAACATTCTAAGTTTTGGTATCTAGAAGGAGGATATCTTCAGC